CTTGGCTAAGATGATCCAGCTGGCAAGTGGTAGAGCTGGGATTTGAACTCATAAGGAATGTTCTTTACTGGGCTCCAATACCAAGGAGCAACATCCTTGAAACTTGAAAGAATGAAACATAATGACAGTTGGGCTAAGCCCAGAAACTGGCCTATATAAGTCCTATTTTTTTTCAGAGGAAATCTTCCTTTCTATTTCTCTCCTCTCTCTTCATTGGAGAGCTAAAAGGCTAGAGAGGAGACAGAATAAAATATTTAAAAGTACTTCATTAAAATTGAAAACCCATGGGCTGGAGAAATGGCTCAGAGGTTAAGAGCACTGGCTGCTCTTCCCGAGGGCCTGAGTTCAATTTCAAGCAACCACATGGGGACTCACAACCATCTCTAATGAGATCTGGAGCCCTCTTCTGGCCTACAGGCAGGGTTTCACTATATAGCTCTGGCTGTCTTAGACTCACTATGAAAATCAGGCTGGTCTTTAACTCAGAGATCCTCCTGCCTCTGCCTCTGCTGCCCAAGTGCTGTAATTAAAGGAGTTACTGTATCTGGCATCATACAAAACCTTTTATGGAAGTGTTCGAAGTAATTTTATTCATAGTAGCCTACAGTTGAAAACAGCAACAAATGATCATTAACTGATGAGTAAACTGATTTGTTACAAGTCAGCTGATGGACTATTACTCACCAAGAAAAACAGAACAATTTTATGATACACATGTCAGCACTCTGGGACAGCTAAACTTAAATAAGGCCTGTGTATTAGACAACGGTATTTGTTACTTCCCGATTTTAATCATGGCCTCATAGTGGAAGAGAACAGAATTTGTGGGCTTAATCCAGTGGTTAAGAGCACCGGTCATAGCCGGGCATTGGTGGTGCATGCCTTTAATCCCAGCACTCGGGAGGCAGAGGCAGGCCGATCTCTGTGAGTTCGAGGCTAGCCTGGTCTCCAGAGCGAGTTCCAGGACAGCCTCCAAAGCAATACAGAGAAACCTTGTCTCGAAAAACCAAAATAGTGGGCATGGTGGCGCCACCTATAATCCCAGCACTCGGGAGGCAGAGGCAGTTTGATCTCTGTGAGTTTGAGGGCAGCCTGGTAACAGAGTGAGTTCCAGGACAGCCAGAGCTACATAATGAGACCTTGTCTTAGAAAAACCAAAAACAACAACAAAAGAATACTTGTTTCTTTTCCAGAGGTCTCAGTTTTGAGTCTCAGCACCAACATGGTGGCTCACAACTGTCTGTAACTCCAGTCCTAGGGGACCCAATGCCTTCTTCTGGTTTCTGTGGACACTGCATCCAAGTGTTATGCAGACATACATGCAGGCAAAACACCTACGCACACAAAATAAAAATTAAATTAAAAAAGTATTTGTGATTTAAACATGGTTATGGGATTTTATTTTATGTGTAAGTGCTTTTCCTTCATGAATATCTGTGTACCATGTGCATATCTACTGTCTGTGGACGTCAGAAAGAAATGTTGGATCCCCTAGAAATAGAGTTACAGAAAATTGTGAGCCACCGTGTGAGTGCTAGAAGGTAAAACTGGGTCCCCTAATGAGAAACAAGTGCTCCTTGTTAACCGAGACATCTCTTCAGGCCCAGATTGTGATGTTTAAAATTTTTAAAAGGCAAAATTGGAAAAGGGACTACTCACATGATTCAACTACTTATTTTAAGACTATAAAAGGATTGGATCAGATGCTCTTCTTAGTCCCATACTCTGATCAATCCTAGACCCACACTGAACTTAATAAACATGATTAAAAAAATTTACATGTTTTGTTTTGTTTTTTTCCTGGAGCTGTGACCACAGTGAACATTTACTAGAATTACAGGTCAGGGTTGGAGAACTTCACCTCCCTTAAATAAATGCATTTATGCGAATTTTTGGGCAGTTACTTCATTTAACAAGAACAGCAACTGTTTTGAATAGAGCCACGACCCCCAAACTCTTAGAAGTAACTATCATGCAACAAGCCTGCTGACTGCTAAAAATGCAACGAAAGGTTGTAAGGAGTGCAAACTGTAACCCTCTGGAGATTCAGGTTAGAGCTAGCCGAAGCCCATCAGGGTTACTTGACCAGTGGAACACATGTGATGAATTCAGCTGGGCTGTTACTGCTGCTGCTATCCTGCAGGCTCACAGTGTCTACTGAGCAATAAAAGATAACAGCAGGGGCCTGCAGATCCAGGCACTGGCAGTAATTACTCTCAGCTTCTCCTGGAAACCTGGAATTGGAGCATCACACTGTTATCAAGGCATCTTCAACCTGCCCTCAGCTCCTGTATGCTTCCAGGTCCTCAAGGCAACCGAGGCTCTCATTGAGAATGGTTCTGCTCTTCATTAAGGGGCTTTTATCACACAGCCGAGGGTTGTAAAGCTCAGCTTTTTTCTTGGGGAAAAGCTATTAATTGTACAACAGTGTCTTGACTGCTACCCCTTAGGGCAGCCATTTCATCCTTTGTGCCTCAGAAATCTTATCATCAAACTGAAAAGGAAACATGCCTAAATTAAACCTGAATCATTCCCTTCTGCCAAAATTATAGGCTTGGGAATGGTCAGTAGGAATGCTATTATCTGGCTGCACTGTGGTAAAAGTAGACTCTGTGAGGGCAGGTAAAGATTGCTGGAATCTATCGCCTGCAGATACTGAGTTGTGTTCTCATTGTCCTTACCTGAATGGATGGATCTCGACAGATCTCTTACTCTACCAAGGCACTGGCTGTTTTTCTGACACGGTATGGTGAAACTTCTGACATTTCTCCACAGTGATTTTAGCCCTCTTCATTTCAGCCTTTGGCCACAGGAGCCCTGAGTTTCACTTTCAACAAACAACCTTCTCATGATCCCACTAAATATGAGGAGGTTGAAAATGGTCTTCTAGGGCTGGAGAGATGGCTCAGAGGCTAAGAGCACTGACTGCTCTTCTAAGGGTCCTGAGTTCAATTCCCAAAAACCACATGGTGGCTCACAACCATCTGTAATGAGAGCTGGTGCCCTCTTCTAGCCTTCAGGCACACATGTAGACAGAACACTGTATACATAAGAAAGGAAGAAAGGAAGAAAGAAAGAAAGAAAGAAAAAGAAAGAAAGAAAGAAAGAAAGAAAGAAAGAAAGAAAGAAAGAAAGAAAGAGGGGCTGAAGAGATGGCTCAGAGGTTAAGAGCACCAGAGGTCCTGAGTTCAATTCCCAGCAACCACATGGTTGCTCACAACCATCCGTTATGAGATCTGGTACTTCTGGTGTGCAAATATGCATGGAAGCAGAATGTTGTATACATAATAAATAAATAAAATCTTTAAGGAAGAAAGAGAGAGAGAGAGAGAGAGAGAGAGAGAGAGAAAGAAAGAAAGAAAGAAAGAAAGAAAGAAAGAAAGAAAATGTTGCATGTATGCCCATGACCAGCCCTCTCGGGAATGAGAGGTCCTGTGGGGTAGCGCATAAGATTCAGAACCAAACTGTACCAGGTCTAAATCCTGTGCCTGTGATACAGGATTGACGAGGCTCACATGTTTTGAGGACAAACCACATGTTGGAAAGGATCTGGAACCCCAATGGCCACCCCTCAACTCAAGGTGTATGTCTAGGTGTCTTTCCTTCAACCAAGCCAGGAGCTGATCTGGCCTAGAATTCTGCCCCGTAAGGACTGAATCCCCAACAACAACAACAAAAATTAGTCATTGCCAGAAGCTGGAGGTATGGGATAGAGAAAGTGGCATTGGCTGCTCATGGTAATGGGGGTTCTCTTAGGGGCTAATAAATTTTTCTTGGGATTACTATAATAGCAACTTACAAGCTTATGAATATGAATGGAATTTTGAGTCCATTATATTACATTGTGTAGTTTATTTTGTGTGTTTGGGTGTTTTGCCTACATGTATGTCTGTGATTCACTGATGCTGGAGGAGGCCAGAAGAGAGTGTTAAGACACCCAGGAACTGAAGTTACAGATGGTTGTGAGCTGCCTGCCAGGTGAGTTCTGGGGACAGAATCCAGGTCCTCTGGAAGAGCAGTCAGTTCTCCTAATTGGGGAGCCATCTCTCCAGCCTTACAGTATGCCCCTCAAAAGGGTTAGTTTAATGGTGATGAATATACTTGGCAGAGAAGAGGGAGAACTTGGCTGTGTAGGAGTTGGAAGTTACTTGGCCAGCCTCCTGTAGTGTCAACCAATCTAATCACTAGAGTCTTACCTCAGTTCCTGTTTCTCTCCAGTCCCAAGCCCGACTGCCTCCTGGCCATACTTTGCAATCCTTATAGGTTAAGTTAGAGCCTTGTACTTTCATTTGTCCCCAAGAAAGGGAAGCAATTATAGGAGAAGCCATAAGTTACTGAGCTGAAATCTGAAATTAAAAGAAAAAGATTTTAAGTCAGTCACTTAGGAAAGTTGAGACCAATCCAAAATTCAGAGATAGATGCCCCAATTCTCTACATGAGAGGTTCCCTTCTCTAACAAGGTCCTTACATCACTGTGAATGCAGGCCTCTACTGAGAATTTCTCTAAGACAGAAATTATTCTTGGGATCCGGAATCATGAAAGCACAGAGAGTAGAGATGGCAATTATTCCTCAGACTCCAGAGGTAATACTCAAGATAAAGTCTCAAAGTGGAGATTTATCTGGGGTGGTGGTGGTGCACACCTTTAGTCCCAGCCCTTGGGAGGCAGAGGCAGGCAGATCTCTGTGAGTTCTAGGCCAGTCTGGTCTACAGCCTGGTCTGTTAGTTGCTGGACAGCTAAGTCTACACAGAAAAACCCTGTCTGGAAAAAACAAAAACTAAAACAAAAACAAAACAAGCAAACAAAAAAGTGGAGATTTACTTCAGTATGATGGAATGAGGAGGTGGCTTGTCTTATCTCAATATAAACAATACAGCCAAAAAAATCCTATAATAATAATTTGGCCAGCAAGATGGATATCCAGCACCAAGCCCAACAACTTCAGTTTAATCCCTGGAGCCCACATGGTAGAAGAAGAGAACTGACACATTCACCCATTTACACATGGGTGCACACACACACACACACACACACACACACACACACACAAATATAAAAGAAAAACCCAAGCTGGCAAGCTGGAGATACAACTCTGCACTTAGGAACACTTGGTGCTCTTTCATACGACCTAATTTAGTTCCTAGTACCTGTAGGGCCCAGCCATGAAGGCAATACCTGGTTCCAGGAAAGGCCACAAACTGAGACACCCAGGCACCACCTGAGAATGGACCATCCAAGGAGGAAATACCTAACATTCCAACCACTGTAGATAGGATCACCAGATGTCCCTTAGCCCAGCACACACCCATCAAGTGTGTGTCTAAACAAGGGGTGTCACCAAGACACCCCTAGACAACTGTCAGCCAATCAGGCAGGGGTCCTGAACCTTGGAAATTCCTCACCCCAACCTCTGCTATGATTAAAAAAAAAAAAAATGAACCCCAACTGAGCTCGAGGATCTCTGATCCTGCCGATTCGTTGGACGACACAAAGGGCCAAAGTTCAAATTTGAATAAAGGCTCTTTGCTTTTATATATGGGATTTAGTCTCCTTATTGGTTTTGGGGGAAACACCGAGATCTGGGCATAACAGCAACCAAATTAAACAGCTCATGACTGCTGCTAACTCCAGTTCTGGGAATCCATTCACATCAGCCTCCAGAAGGACCCACACACAGGTGGCATACATGTATGCACACATTCATACTTGTAAATTTTAAAAAATAAAATGATGCCATGTACATGCCTTTAATCCCAGCACTCAGGAGGGAAAGGTAGGTGGATCTCTATGAGTTGAAGGCAAGCCTCGTCAATAGTGAATTCTGGCACAGCCAACACTGTTACACAGAGAAACCCTATCTCAAAAAACAAACAAACATGTGGCTAGAGATATGGTTCATTGGTTAAGAGCACTGGCTGTTCTTCCAGAGGTCCTGAGTTCAATTTTCAGCACCCACATGGCGGCTCACAGCCATCTCTAGTGGGATCTGATGCCCTCTTCTGGCATAAAAGCATACATGCAGATAGAGTCCTCATACAAATACAATAAATAAGTCTTTTAGAAAATTAAAAACAAAACAAAAAACCCAGCAAACAAAAACAAAACAAAATAATAAAGTGAAAGACAAGCTCAACATCTTGCTTTTGAAAATAAAACAATTATTTGTCCCTCTAGAAATAAAATTAAAGACCTGCCATAAACTGCCTAGTGCTTATTTATACAAACCACTGAATTTCAGATTAATGCAGCTCCAAGGAAGTCCCCTTTCCATATTCTGTAGGCAACTAAGTTCAACTAGGTAGGAGTATAAAAGCAAATAGGCTTCCTGCTACTGTAGGTAAACTAGGCAGGGACCTAAATTCTCAAAGTTGGAGAGCTGTTTGGAAAGATGGTTTAGTCAGTAAAGTGCTTGATGTGCAAACATGAGGACCCAAGTTAGATCATTAACACCTATCTAAAACAACACCAACCAAAATGAAAAACTCGGCATGGCTGCACACACCTGTAATCCCCATGGTGGGAAGGCAGAGGCGTGAGGATCCCTGGGGTTTGCTGGCCAGCCAATCTAGATCAATCTTCAATGAGAGACCCTTTCTTAAAAACTTAAGGTGGAGAGCAATTGGTGACCTCAATGCTCACATGCATACATGTCCACACACTCCCTGATGTGTACAGTAGCACACACTAATATGTACATAAACACACACACAAGATGAAATTCTCAGAGGTGACACAGTCACAGAGGAGGCCTGTATAAACTCTCCACATATCCCAAGTAGAACAGAAGCCACAAGCCTATGTTCCAAAGGCCTGGGTAGCTTAATTCACGGGAACATTACAAGCTGATAACGCTTACACACATGAACAAAGATAAGTAGAAGGCATAGGAAGGTAGGCAGATATAAAAACCAATAAAAACAAGTGGGTCTTTTTTTGTTTGTTTTTTGTTTTTTGTTTTTCGAGACAGGGTTTCTCTGTGTACCTTTGGAGCCTATCCTGGCACTTGCTCTGGAGACCAGGCTGGCCTGGAACTCATAGAGACCTGCCTGCCTCTCCCTCCTGAGTGCTGGGATTAAAGGTGTGCGCCACCAACACCCAGCTACAAGTGGGACTTTTAATTAATCCTTCAGTGCACAAATGGATCCATTAGTAGTGCACAAAACTCTTGCTAGCTCAAGGTATATGGATATTGAATACATTTGTGGCTGAATACTAAACTACATAGACATAGAGGAAACCCCTAGAAAATCAGCCTTTACAGGCAGATCTGAGTTCAAGGCCAGCCTGATCTGCAGAGTGAATTCCAGGACAGCCAGGGCTACACAGAGAAACCCTGTCTGGAAAAAAAAAAAAAAAGTCGGGCATTTAATCCTAACAGGAGGCACAGGCTGGTGGATATCTGAGTTCAATGCCTGGTCTACAAAGAAAGTTCCAGGAGAGCCAGGGCTATACAGAGAAACCCTGGGTTGAAAGCAAAAACAACAAACAAACCAACAAACAAAAAAACAGCCTTTAAAATAAAAACATGATCAAAATAAAGGACTGAACAGGTATTCTAGTAGCCACACACTAGTGGGAATCAGAAAAATAACTTTTAGTATTGTGTTTTGAATATCTTCCAAATTTATGTGGAAATTTTATATATATATATATATTCCCAAGTGCTGGGATTAAAGGTATGCGCCACCACTGCCTGGTCCAAGATTTCCTTTTTAAAGTTAGGGTCTCAAGTAGCTCAGGATGGCTTCAAACTTACTGTATACCCAAGGACAACCTTGAGCTTCTGATTCTCCTGCCTCCATTTCTCCAGTACTGGGATTACAAGTGTATGTGTGCCTCCATCACCATACTTGGTTCCTTATATTAAAAGATTTATTTCAAGGAAATGGCTTACACAATAGTAGGGGTTGCTAAATCCAAAACGAGCAGAAAATGCTGACTGGTTTTAATGTCTGGGGCACAAGTGATTGCAGTGTCAAAGACTTATTTCTTCATCAAGAAGACATTAGTTTTGTTTTAGGCTTTTTACCTAATTGGAGGAGGTCTGCTCAGAGGATGAAGGACAATCTCATTTAATTAAGTAAAATAATTGTGGATGTTAGCTGTATCTACAAAGTAACTTCATAGCAAAATCAATGCAAGTCTTTGATCAGGTATCTGGACACTAGACCACAATGACGTCTGAAGTTAACATAGAGCTAACAATCACAATTCATTCTTCTTATATAAGATGAACACATGGTTTGTTTATCATCCTACTGTAGCTTTCTCATGTGCTACTAGCCTGTATAATCTGTGCATTCTGTAACCGTGTAGATGGGAACAAAAGTTTGAATGAGTAAAAATAAAATGGACATTGTTAACTGCAGAAAATCACAAGGCAGCCAGACTAGGTATAGAAAAGAAAGTCATTCAAGATATTCTCCACCCATTTATATTAATTTTAGAATCCATGAATGATGAGCTTACTCCTTGACATGGCCAACCTTGCAAGAGAGAAACTGACATGCTTTTTTTGGCCACCCTGAAGCTGAAGAACTTCTACATTCCTGAGATGTTCAGTCATGATACCAGTACAGGCAAATTTCTCTTTTTAATTATGGGTTTCTTTTTGTCATAATAATCAGTGATGCCCTGACCATTAGGCAGTCAGTGTCTTCCTACAGTTGAGCAGACTTTTATATGGATGTAACCCTTAGTCTCAGCTGAGAGTAAATCTTTATCACCAGGTGCATCAGCAAAGTTGAAATATAGAAGGTTCTGGAGATACTAGTATGATACTAGTGTGTAGCTGGTAAGTAGCTAAAATTCTTGTGGAGGCCACCCAGATGGCCTTGTCAGGAGGCCACAGTGAGGAGAAATGACGATAACTGATGAGAAATTACAGTAAGTGAGATGTTCCACTCTATGTTTGGGGTTCTGCTGGGGCATGGGCCCATGATCCAGTCTTTGTCAATTTCCCACCTCTCTCTCCTAAAAATATATAACCTTCAGTAAAGATAATTACAAAGTCATACTTTTACTCAACACCACTTAATTACCAATGCAATTTTGCTACTTCAATTTCTAAACAGCCATTACAAAATACGTAACAGAGAAGATATGCATAGTGAGACCCTGTCAAAAAAAATTTAACTTTTTGGCAGTATGTGTGTGTGTAAGTGCACACCATGTTTATGTAGAGGTTAGAACTGCCTCTCTCAGGCCACCTTGTGGGATCCCAGGATGGAATTCAGGTAGTCAGCTTCCACCTGAGGAGCTGTCCCCAAGAAAACTTTTGAGAAGCAGCACAATGAAAACAGCAAATTGGTATGAGCAGAGGATGTCTGTATCTGTAGCTTGAGG